CGCTTTGGAAGGGAAAACTCTGACTTCAAACCCCCACTTAGGCGTCGCCATCGTCCTCCATGCCGGGAGAGAACAGGCCAGGTAGGTGGGATTCGTTCAGCCCTGGAAGGCAGCCCATCTAGGAGAACGATAACTCTGACTTCAAACCCCCACTGAGGCGCCGCCATCATCCTCCATGCCATGAGCAAGCAGGCTGGGTAGGTGGGACGTGTTAGCCTGGGAAGGCAGCCCATCTAGGAGAAGGAAAACTCTGACTTCAAACCTCCACTGCCTTGTGGCTATATCCACCGATGGAAAAGGCTTCAGGAGTTAACCTCGAGGCAAAATCTGGAGCCAGAGTCCTGGAGGCAGTTCATGTCATTCTGTCCACTCCTGCGACGTCACTGAAACCAGTTGTATTGGCTCTATTGGACTATTTCAGTGACGGGGGGATTTTCTGCTTGGGTAACAGCCTATCCTCCATATTATTTTACCCAGGCTTTGTGCCCTGGAGAGGACACTTCAGCTTTGTGTACAGCGTCAAAACACTAGACGCTGTTCCAAATGCTCCATACAGAGCACGTTACCATAGTCTCTCGAGACTGAAGGGTGCCTATGAGGTACAGTTTCATCCAGATCTGCTTGTGCCCCCTCTGGTGAAAGGCCTGAAAGTGATTGCTTTAGTGCCTGTGGTGCATAGGTATAGAATCCACAAGTAGATTGCACACAGAAAACAAACAACCATTCTTCCTCTTGTCCATATGATATGTAAACATTATTTCTACTGGAAGTAATACAGTGCATAATTCTTTTGCCACCAATTAGCATCAGGAGATGTATGTGTGTGTGTGTGTGTGTGTGTGTGTCTGAAATAAAAATAGAGAAATGCACTCTAGTCCTGCTGTTACTTAAAAGAAACAATCTTCTAAAACAAAAACATGAACTGCTGTATGTAAGCGTTCATGTTACTTTTAGATAATTGAGATATACTGACTTCCTCTGGCATGTACAGTACTTCAAAATGCTATGGAGGCTTATAAACTACTAATACATGCTTGTTTTTCTTTGTGAGCAAGTAGCTGAAATTCTATAATTCTGGAAAGGTAATCAAATTCTGCCTGGATACAATTCTGTTCCTTATTCTATTGAAGTGACACAACAATGCACCAGAGTTGCTTAAGACATATTGCTGTCAATAAATAATCTATATATCAATTTTTGTAATACATAATGAGAGATTTTATAACTCAGTCCAGAAGAAAAACTCATAATGGAAAAAATAAGGGTATCATAATGAAATATTTTTGAAGCCACCTCATCAAACAAACAGTCTGAAAGGCAAGATCAGCTACACAGTGGAAAAGGTGTTTCACTAACCTGGACATTTTAATAACATTACACATTTTCAGTGGACTACTTCTGAATTCCAGTATGCCTGGCTGGCTTTTTCAGACTTTATCCAGACATATTTTACTACATTATAACCATCACAAGGACTATTATAAACTGCTTTTTCATACAGAAACTGTTGAGCAGTTGCCAAGCTGGTGGAGAAAACAATGAGAATAGCAGCTGTACTCTCTAAAGATACCTCCACTGAATATCCCACAGAAGGGCCCACAGGCATTCCTGCCTACAACAGCTGTTAGACAGAAGGACACTATTCAATTGCTCTGTAGGAAAAAGGAACTTTCCTTTGATGCATCTGGAGCCACTAAAATCAACTCAAATCAGATATATAGAGGCTCAGAATTGATGTTGGCTTTGTTTTTTCTCTTCTTCTAAGACAGTATATTCTATACATAAAGAAACAGGCTGTTAAAATGTAAGTGCAAAAGCACTATTCCAACAAATCTACTCCTGCTTCAATATCTCCACACTTCATTAGTGTTCATTTGTAAAAAGAAAATTAAATGAAATTTCCAGTACAAAAATGTTCACAGTATAACATTAAATAAAATAAACATTACTGTGATTTTAAAAAACTTTTCCAAGCTTTGCATCCTTTATTATTCAAATTTTTTAAAAATTGTATTTATTTACATAATTTTTATCCCAGATGTCTATCTAAGATCTTCAAGGAAACACCACACTAGCATAACATATATGGGCCTAAATCCAATGTGACGCTGTCAGTAGCATTAGAATTTCAGTCTTTCCCTTTGTACCTCTCTTTGGCATTGAAAGCATCTCCCACAGGGGGTTTCCAGCCTCTACGGGGCAGATTTTTGGAATACAGTATGTAGCTTGTATTGTAAACTTCCCAGAGAATGGTTTAAGTGCTATTGGGTGGTATATAAGCAGCACACTTTATTACTTAGCAGCTGCACCAGAGAGGAGAGGTGTTTCCCCTTGTGATTCTACTATTTCCTAAGTGGTAGGCCAGCACTGGATGTACCCCATAACCTATTAAAACCCATATAAAAGAGTAACAGCACACACAGACATACACAGATCAGTGTTAGAGAAACACTGGAAGATTTTCTGTTCAGTCAGAAACCAAATGTCTCCAGAATGAACTGATTTTAACCTATGAATAATGAAATCCAAAGTTTCTCCCCCAACCTCACCATGTATAGAGCCATATATCACAAGAAATACGAGTCACCTTGATCACCTCGTTCTCAAGTTCAAGACTAGAAAACTGTACAACTCCTCTTTGTAGGGAAAATAACTCCAATAATTTTATAAGACTTTTTCTATATCTTTTCATGCTCGTATGATATTCTTTTTGAGAGACAACCAGAATAACTAAAACACAGCAGTCTATCCTTGGATATGTCACAGATTTATGTAAGACCATTTTACCCCCCACTCCCATCATACCTAATACTAGCCTAGTTTGGCGTGTTCACTACATTAACAATTTCTGCTGTAATTTCTCTCTCTCTCTTTCTCTCTGTGAAGAATAGAATAAAATAAACTGATGCTGCAGAGTTTATTTGATGAAGTGGTTAAATTAACTGATTAAAATAAACTGATAAGTGAAATGGTGCTTCTGATTCAAGTGGACAGCAGATTTTAATTAAAGCATATTTTTAATACAGTACACATAAATACATGCAAGTTGCAAGATGCAAAAAAGCAGGATCCTCCAGAATGTTTCTCAACTGGTACCTGCTGCAACACATGTGAATTATTCCAAAAGAAACAAAAATGTTATTTTCTATTATTTATACATATACAATGTAATCAATCAATATATCTACTAAATAATTACAATTTATAAAATAATCCACAGAGATGCTGCTTCTTTTTAAAGGTGGAATAATAATTAATAATTGTGTGCCGTCAAAGCAACTCTGATTTAAGGCTGGATGCCAGGCCAAATAGAGCCCCTAACTGTAAGTTAGTATCCTACTGAGCTATTGCTAAATGCAAATTCTCACCAGGAGAGTCATGTGGGACCTCACCACCTAAGTAAGCATTACCACTACATAAGCATACAAGGGGGTATTTAATCATAGGAATTGCCTCTTGTGGAATGGCAGTGACTTTACATTAAGTGAAAGCTTAAAGCATAGTAGACATTGTTCAGCAGCAACCTCTTAGTTGAAGAAACCATGGAAGAGACTTGAGCAATAGCAACATAGCCCTGCTTCTGTTATTTCTGCAAAGAACAAATAATAACAGGAATCGTGAATTTACAAGAGTTGAAATGTGATAACAGGAGATAAGCATTCCACTGGAATTTTACAAAATGAATCCAAAGACATTGCAAGAGTTTTGACTACTCTGCTTTACTACCTAAGGCATAAAGATCACTTGATTTAATAAATCAATACTAATGCATATTAATAAAACTAGGAACTCTGAAATTTCAATCCCCAAGGGTTTTGCAAATCACTTCTCGCAATTTAAATTAGCCTTTTAAATACATTGTTAAATTGACTCAATTATTTTAGTTTCTGTTAGGGAAAAACATATTATTGCTATAAACATTTATGGACACTGTAGTGTGAGAAATGTCATGCAACAGAAATAAAAATCCACATATTCAGTGATAAAACAACTTCATCTCAAATAATTTATAGTTAAACTGCCCAGCCGCCAATAGACAAGAATTGTCCTAATCTCCCATTACAACTCAACTTCTTCACTTTTGTTAAAACGTCTTGGATGTATACAGTAGTGCCTCACAAGATGATGTTAATTTGTTCCGTGAAAAATGCTGTCTTGCGAAAACATCATCTTGCGAAACGCGGTTCCCCTTTGGAATGCATTGAAATCTATTTAATGTGTTCCAATGGAAAAAATCATCGTCTTGCGAAAATCGTCTATAGAAAACATCATCTTGCGGAATGCGGTTCCCCATTGGAATGAATTGAAATCTATTTAATGCGTTCCAATGGGGAAAAAATCGTCGTCTTGCGAAAATCGTCCATAGAAAACATCATCTTGCGAAGCACAAAAACGATCGCAAAAACCAATCGTCTTGCGGATTAATTGTCCTGCGAGGCAATCGTCTTGCGAGGCACCACTGTATTTGAGCCAATCTGCTCATTTTCTGATTCTTTATGTAGTAGTTTTGTAGGTTATAAAACCTTGCTTTTGGCTACTATTCAAACATGTCTTAACTGAACATGAAGTTGCTCAGAACTTGCAGCAGTTTTTATTAGGCGGTCAGATTGCTTACAGATCTCTGATATGCAGGAACTCATTTCATACTGGGTGACAGGATGGTAAGCATGAGTTCTATTGTCCTAAGTGGCTGTGTCAAAAAACATATTCGTGCATGCAGGAGCTTTGTAAAGCAATGAACAGATGAAACATACTGCATGTCCAAATTTAAGTGGCATGTCACTATGAAATTATCAACAATGATCAAAGATTTATGTATCCAATAAATTGAGATTTTCTCCATCATACAGTGCTAAAGAGTTCTGAGTTTAATGCTGCTACTCATTTGAGCTGATGGAGTAGTTGTTAATGATGTTAATGATAGGCAAGGCTTGGGGAGTGTCACAATATACAAAGCCAATTATATATCATGTTTTGAAATCATGTAAATAGCCTTTTGGAATCAAACTGTTGTAAGTTAAGAAATATCTGTAAACATTAGCTGTTGCATACTGAGCTATATAACTAAAATAATGCCTATTGAGAGTTATTAACCTACAGCACTTTACATCTAATAAGTTACATTATTGGTATAACTGTGCAACACGATTTCAGCTCATTAGTTCAAAGTAGAGGATTGAGAGGGACTTTCACTTATGAAACTTATGTTGTCTGCTACAACAGCAACATGTTGCACACAAAAGATAAAATGTTAAGTGCTATTTTGGCTTAAGACCTTGAATTCAAACAAAGCTGGGGTGCATGGCTGTCACCATAAAACATCATGAAGTTGTGCTAGAAGTCCACATTTGTCTGCTCCACGTCACCCCATTGTACGGAAAAGGCAAACTGAGAGAACTTAATGTTAAGATCATCATGTTTACATAGCAAAGAGGTGGAGGGTGATAGGAGAACCACAAGGAAACACATAAAAGGAGGCATTGCACAGAAAAAGTATACTGAAGTGGAGTAAGGAAATGAGTTCCATTTGGATTGGGGAGCTTTAGTGTACTCCAGGGTTAACAGACTGATCAGCTCTGACAAACTGCTTATCTAATGCAATGTTCAATACTAGAATGCTATTTCTTCCCCTTGTTCTAAGAAGGTTAGATCTTCTCATGGCTATGACCTTTTAAAATTGTTTGTTTAGCTAAAATGATTAGTACAACAGGGCACACAATATGTTTAAAAAACACTGTGCCTCACTGGGGCACTGTTAAACCCAATCACTTCATTCTATCACTATAATATCATAAATATTGGCTGGAATCCTTTTCCATTTTTACACTAGCATAACAAAATCAGTATAAATCTCAGTGAACTGCTGCGTCTGTAATTATTTGGTGTGGCATGGCCTGTTGCACTACTCAGCCTGCAACATCTTGACCTACCAAATTGCGGCAATTTGCTTCTGAGATTTACTCAGACTGAATTAATGTGAAAGATCTAATTAATAGAATTCCAGCTATTCTGTGGCAAAATGCATGCCTTGCTACAAAGATAGTATATAAAATAAAGAAATATGACTGTTAGTTTCAAAAGCGAAGTTTTAAGAACCTGTAGTAACAAATAATCAGTGAGGCAAATTCCGGTTAAGTTGCCCTGTGTGAAAAATTTAAAGCGAGACATTTTCATATGGATCATAAGGTTTCCCTTAGATCTACGGAAAGATTGAGAAGAAGGCAAAAACATACACAAACAGCCCAGTCATTTAACTGAGAACTCACTAGGATTAAACGATGCAAAATTCAGTCTGTTGGTTGGTATATGTTGTTCCTATTCTTCAGCCTTAGATTATTTCAGTTCGATACACTGCCTCAAGCCAAACTCTAGATCTATGTACTAAACACAAAATGGTCTTCTAAGTGTGCAGCTGTTTCACCAGACTGAGAAATTACTGCTGCTTTGGAACTAAAAGGTTTCTCAGCATATCAAAAGAATTGCCATCTGGGTGCACAGTCACCACATCTTTGCCTTCCTCCTGAACTTGAAGGAATCCAGAATCATTGACGCCAACAATCCACGCCATTGGCCCTTTATCATTTACGAGCTGGACTTGCTTAGCACTGCAAAGAGAAAAACAGAATTGTTTGCATAATAAACCAAAATGCATCAAGCTCACAGAACCTTATTATAGTAAGTGTGAACTCATCCCTTCCAGAAAAATCAAATTATTCTGATTATATCAGGGCATAATATAATATATTATAGTATAATATATTTATTTTTGTGGAACCATATGATTACGGTTCAATAAAAACATTTAAATATACTCAAGTATCATTACATTGTAGCAATACAGATTTACATAAGGAAAGATCATACACCCTGATTGTCATGGTTCTTTAGATGTTTTTTCCTGAAATTCAACTAAATGACAGTGTCCTGAAGAACATTTTCTTCAGGAAAATGTTCAGTTTCTGCAGAAGTTATATACAACAGTGTACAATCCTAACAGTGTTCAGAGTAACCATAATGAGCTATACTTCAAAGAATTTCTGGTACCCACCTGTTATCTTTCACAGCTGTATTTCTTTGTTCAGGACCCTAGATCTATTTCCCCAGAGCCACAAGTATCCACTGATGCCAGTGGAATGTGTTCCTTTCAGCTTAATTGCCATACAGGAGCCTAATTTAGAAGAAGGATTGCCACCAGAGAGGAAAGAGTTAAATCCTATTCCAATGCTACCCCACATCACAATTAGGAATAAGGAAAAAAAGTTCATTCCTTCTGTGGTTTTCATCCAAGGAACAGTTCAAATCTTCTCTACATGGCAACTCCTGTTAGGAAAAGGTTCCTTTCATATAACTGGATGCTTTTTCCCTAAGCTGAATTGTAGGAGAAACTGAGCAATTCTCCTCCATAAAAGAGAGTTGAATCATGGGGAAACACATGAGAATAAGAAAGAGAGATGAGTGAGGAAGAAAGAAGGAGAAATGTGTTTCTTACCCTCCTAAAATATTAAATGATCTAGGCAGAAAGTCCTTCTACAGGTACAAAGTGTGTTAGATTCTGTTTGATTTGTTTCTCTGCACTGTTGAGTATTTTCCTGCCCTGCATTGTGGACTATAGAGAGGTGGTCTAAAGTGTGGGGCTTCCTATTTTGCTTTGCTTGACTCCCTCTGTGTGTAATAAATGAGGTGGAAAGCCACAATTCCCAGCAACGTCATGAGACAACCACACAAAATTGAAAGCAGAGAAACAAAAGGACCTCTCATTCTACTCTCTATCTCCTTCTTGTTGCACCACAGCAAGTCTCCCCAACAAAAACTTCCCCTGTTCCCTTAAGGTTTCTTGGCACCACCACAAGAGCAAAAGACTTTTCTTTTTCACAATATTTTTGCACAGAAAGCACAAAGCACAAAATCAAGCAGTTTCTCTGCAAACTCCATAGACTTGCTGCACAAGATAGGTACAGTATGAAAAAGGAAAGGACCCCCCAACAGAAAACACCAGACAGATTTCATCCTGTACAATATTAAATTGTATCCTGTTTATTAAAGTGTATCCTGTTATACTTTGCAACTTGAAAACTCAATTTAAAATAAAAGTATATCTTTTACAAGACAGAGTTCCTTTTCTGTGTAGAATGCAGCATATATATATTTTAGCTACATATATATTTTTAGATACAGAAGAAGTGTTTATTGCATGAAACAGAACTTTTTTCTGTGCACAAAACAACAGAACATGTCTATTATATCTACTAGTGAATGAGAACTGAATGACACTTTGAGATTGAATTTTGTAGGTTTAATAGAAATAGGAAAGAATTTCGTATCCAAAAAACAATTTTAGCAGAGTTGTCAAATACAGTGGTGCCTCGCATAGCGAGGTTAATCCGTTCCGGATTAACCTTCGCTATGCTGAAGCATCGCTGAACGGGGCAGCGATTTCCATTGGAACGCATTAAACATCGTTTAATGCGTTCCAAATGGGCCAAATACTCACCGTTCAGCGATGCTTCAGGATGGCCGGCAGCCATTTTCGCGCCCTCGCCTCGCTTAACGAGGGCGCAAAAACGCTGTGCGCGGCCATTTTGGGCCATTTCCCGGCTTCCGGCGGCCATTTTGGCCGCCGAACAGCTGATCGGCGGGGGTCGTGTTGCGAAGATCGGTAAGCGAAACACTTACCGGTCTTCGCAAAGCGAATTTTTCCCCATTAAAAAAATGTTGAGCGATCGCATTAGCGATCCGAAAAAATGGATCGCTATGCGATTTCATCGTTATACGGTGCGCTCGTTAAGCGAGGCACCACTGTACGCTGTGTCCTAACTGGTACAGAAATCTCTAGAACAACATTTCTATTACATCTATCTTTAAATTATTGTTGAGTGACACTTTAGGGGCAGACATTGATGGACTGGCATCTTACACAACAAAGCCTTGAATTCTATGCATACTTTCATTTTTGGTGAAAAAAAGTGTAAGTAAATTGTAAGGAATCTGAGATTATTTTCCCAAAAAATCTTGTGTGAAAAGAATTTTTCTGGTTTTTTGCTCAGAGAATCACACTGCAAAACTGACCTACTTGCCCGCTACCTGTCTAGCAATTTAGTCCCTTCCCATAATAGAACTATGATACATTTATTTTATATGTAACATATGGAGCAATTATGTTTTATATACTTAATGGATTGTATTATTATTATAGTTTAATTGCTTTTTATCTGTAATTCATTGTGTTTTAAATATTATTTTTTTATTACTGTGAGCCACCTTGGGTCCCTTCACCAGAAGAAAGGTGGCATATAAATGACACAAAAGAAAGAAAGAGAGAAAGAGAGAAAGAAAGAAATATAAATAAGGTATATAATTGAAAGAAAGTTGCTTACATTTGGAATGAAGATCTGAGTGGGAATTATAAAATTACAGTGGTGCCCTGCATAGCGATGATAATCCGTTCCGGAAAAATCGTCGCTATACGGATTCGTCGCTATGCGGAACAAAAAAGCCCATAGGAATGCATTAAAATATGTTTAATGCGTTCCTATGGGCAAAAAACTCACCATTCTGCGAAAATCCTCCATATGGCTGCCATTTTCGCTGCCCGGTAAGCGAGGAATGGGCGCGAAAACACTGCGGGCGGCCATTTTTTAACCCATTTTGGCCATTTTGGAACCACTGATCAGCTGTTAGGAAAACATCGCTATGCGAAAATCGGTAAGCGAAACAGCTTACCGATCATCGCAAAGCGATGTTTTACCATTTAAAACATCGCAATGCGATCGCAAAAAACACATCGCTATGTGGGTTCGTCGTTAAACTGGGCACCCATTATGCGGGGCACCACTATAGTTTGGAATGTCTCCTGCTGGCTTGCTTTTGGATTAGAACTTTGTCAACATTTGGAAATTTAATTTTGATGCATATATTTATTGGGTTTTTTTTGGGAAAACTCCTTACACCTGAAAGGGGCTGATGTTTCATTTTAAAAACATATGGCTAATTATTTGTTTGTTTTTACTGCTTTGACTAAAGTGACTAGGTAGAATCACAAGCCAACTCAAATGTAAATACTGAATTATTTAAAAGTACCCGTTGTGAATGAAAACATTCAGTTAAATGTGCCTACACATAAGCAGCACAGAAGGAAAAACTTCTCATAATTAATTTAAATTAATTAAACCTAGTCATTTATCTCTACACTAAGATATGTGTGTAACACCCATTGGAAGGGGGGGAGATTAGTTCATTTTCTAACCAAGACACTGACAATCAAGAACAATAAAAGCAACAACTACACTCACCTGTGCACCCAGTATTTATAATACATGGGAAGAACTCCATTAGGTCCTTTCTCCTGAAAGGTATTGATCAGATTTTCCAGCACAGTCACACTTCTTGCAATCAGACAGTCAGCACTTAGGGGCTTTAATTTTGCATTCCTAGCCTTGTTGTGCTCCATAATGAGATCATTGATGCATATAGTAGGGTTGCTATTGTTCACATTAAATCCGCAGCCTGAGGAGGAAAAAAGTAATCAGAAAAGAGGCATAGGAAAAAGTGTTTCTCTCCACAAGTGTCTCCTTTCTTACTATATTATAAACTCTTTTGTTCAAATAGTCGTAAAAATCCTTCTACAATTTTTCAGAAAACATTTTATTTTAATAATGGTAAAAGATGACACACGCTTATATCAACACAGATTTATTTCCTCTCTTTTGCTAAACATGAAACATCTTGGCTCACATTTATGACAGCATGTTTTCCTCCTTTATCAAAAGCCCATTCAAACAGTTCCATACAACTCCATGTACAGACAAATACTTCGACAAAAAAGCATATACAGATGCTGGAGACAAATTTCAAAGGACTAAATATCAGTCAAGTGTTCTTAAGTCATTACCAAGTGTGAAATCCTACACTGATTCCCACTTGTGTCAACTATGCTATTATCTTGCAGTATAATAGCTGAAATTACTCACACTTGATAGCCTATTCCATTATTAATGAACCACTGTCACTTTGCTCATTATCTGTATTCCCACCTGGTCATGGGACCATGTATAAATATGATAGTCACATAGTCTCATTCTTATGTTTGAGGAAGTGGACTTGATCCATGAAATTGCATATTAAAATATAGCAGTTAGTATTTAAAGTGTCCCTTGCTGCACTTACTTTGTGTCCCTTGCTGCACTTACTTTGTCTGATATGTTTACATAGACTAACATAGTTACGTCTGTGAAAATTCACAAAAAGCTTCATTTACAAAAGTATATTTTTGTAAAATTTCCTAAGTGATAGAAATTCTGCTAGCTATTACTTGGGGGACACATTTATATCCATAGTCAACAGACACATCATCCATCTCAATCCAGTTAAATCTTGGTACAGTTCTTTCTTCTGAACTTCATATATTACTCTCCCCATCAGTACAGCTCCCATGTTAAAATTCAGCTGAGGAAGTAGATGCACACATATATATCTTCACTGCTATGCATATGAAGACATGTTGTTTATTCTGAAATGAATGATTCCATGCATATAGTAGCTGTTTGATCACAGCAGAACACATACTGGACTCTGCATACACAGAAAACAGTTTAAATCTAAAACGTGAAGTTGTGGCCATGAAAAGTTGCTATGTTCCACAACTCTAAAATCTAAAGCTTTCTCCCTAGCTCAAAACAAAAGCAGCAACTGCCTTCTCTGATAAAAGCCTAGTTGATTCCACACTTAAGTCAGCTTTCAGATTTCTAAGGTCTCTTGCCGTATTTTCTTTGAAGCCTCGTTTTTTACCAGCTCTCTAGCAGGGGACAGTATTATTGGCAGAAAGCCATTGTGTTTAAAAACAGCTCTCAGGACTTCATTGATCAGCTCTTTTACATGGCTCTGTAATAGATACATACAAATCTTGTACTAGTTATTTCCCCTTTCCCACCCAGCAATGTAGGTTTTCTGCTTCGTATGCACATAATTTTAGGACCAGACTTGCCAAGTATATTCATAGTTAAGCTCTCTGCTCCTGAATAATATTTTTTAATTAATAGTTTATTCCTAATACCTCAATGATCACAATTCTTGGCCCACTTGTCTAGGCTGCTTTGGCATTGAGAAGATGAATGAAAATGGCCAATGCTTGTGGAGTTTTGCTGTTATTATGGTCTCTGTGTCACCAACACGTTCTTTAATACGAAGCTTCGACACAGAGTCTCTTGGAGAAATCAAAGACTGAAACACTGGCATCAGCTCGATTTGATCCTCGCTAGACGCTCTAGCCTTCCTAGTATTACGATCACACGTAGTTATCAAGGTGCTGATTGCAATACTGATCACTCCTTGGTGTGTAGCAGAGTAAAACTGCGAATAAAGAGATTGTATTACATGAAAAAGGAAGACCACGTATTGACATCAGCAAGACTCGCAATCAGAGAAAAGTGGAGGAATTACCGGCTGATGCAAATGCGTCTGAACGATGGGAACATTTCAATAATGCTGTTTATAACACTGCCTTGTCCACATTTGGCTGGAATTTTTAGCATGTATACATTATTGAAACAGCAATGTATACGTTGGGTTGGAAATGTCATGAGAATGGCTGACGGTCAGATTCCAAAAGATCCCCTGTATGGAGAATGAGTGCAGGGAAGGTGCCCCAGAGGGAGACCACAGCTGCAATACAAGGATATCTGCAAGCGGGATCTGAAGGAGTTAGGAACGGACCTCAACAGATGGGAAACCGTGACATCTGAGCGTTCAGTCTGGAGGCAGGCGGTGCATCATGGCCTCTCCCAATTTGAAGAGACACTTGTTCAGCAGGCCGAGGCAAAGAGGCAGTCCTGAAACCAGCAAAATCAGGAGCTGGACAGGGAACAGATTGTATTTGTCTTCAGTGTGGAAAGGATGGTCACTCTCGAATTGGCCTTCTCAGCCACACTAGACACTGTTCCAAGACCTCTAATTCAGAGCACGTTAACATAGTCTCTTTAGACTGAAGGGTGCCGACATTACACTATTATTCCTAATACCGCTATGAATATAGAATTAATTACTAGTATTCATAAATTGTCAGTTACTCTTCAAACTTATGAAGATGGAGTGATGGGTTGATAAGTGCTGCCATATTACCATATCAGCTCGGTTTTATCCAGATTTTATATGTGCCGTCCAGTGTCTGTTTAAATGATCAGGTGGCCAAGTTCCAAGCTTTCGCTGTTTTTAAAAAAGTCTCTAGTCCTTATAGAACCAGAGATAAAAGATGCAGTTGCTGTTTGGTCAATTGTTTTGTGAGAAACAAGCCTGTCAGTCTTGATTAGCCAATAAATGAAGCCATCCATAGTCTATCAGATTTTACATATATAAATGGAAACTAAATTCTCTCATGGATAGATATTGCTCTTGTGGGAAAATCTAGCCCCTGCTGGTTTGTAGACAGCTGGTATCTGTATGCAGTGATACCTGCAAACAGTGCATGGCAAACAAAAAAGCCATAGGAATGGATGCTAGGTGGGAGATTATGGCAACTATAGTCCAAAAAAGGGAGTTCTTCCAAGTCCTGATGTTACGCATCATTCCAAGTCCTCTTTTGTCTTCTGACAATTTAGCTGGATTGTGCTACCTTTGAAAAAAAAGGAAGAACTGGGAAAGAGAAGCAAAAGAAAAGGAGGAGGAAGTCCTTGAGGTGACAGCCCATGGCTGTTCCCCCAAAAAGGAGGAGGAAGTCCTTGAGGTGACAGTCCATGGCTGTTCCCAGAAAAGGAGGAGGAAGTATGTTCTTTATCAGAAGAATCTCCTCAGTTTATGGTTCCTGTGACATCTACATTTCTAGAAAATGTAGAGCAGCTTTCACTTCACTTTCTAGACCTGAGGGTTCTTTATCATAGGATACCCTTGCAAAGAGCCTGTCATTCTTTTAACTCTTCTGATCAGATCTTCAATATAATGTCTTCACCTTCTCTTTATTTTCTCCTAGTCAGATAGTGTACTTCTCCGTTGGTCATTCACAATTTTAATCTAAGCTTAAAATTTCCTTTGTTATCCTCTATTTCATTGTACTGGTTATTGTAATAATTCCCTTGTCACCATGTGACAGTCACTAAAAACTGCATTCAGAGGTTCTGACCCTTTTACTTTTGCTCTTTCCCAGTAGCTGATTTACAACCTGGAATTCTCATCCTGAAGCACGATCTCTTGTTTCATTTTGGACTGTCTCATCATAACAGTTTCATGGTAAACAAAGTTCATCTGGGGTTTACCATTGCCTTCTTATGTGCAGTTATAACAAAAGTTAGATTGTCACCACCATTGCTTCCTCCATCAGTGTCACTTTCAAGTACCACTGCTGCCCAGTAGCAGGTGTATAGTCTGGTGTCTCAGCTGTGGCCCTTCTGCCTTGGGTGATCTGCCAGGAATCCAGGCTCATAATGGAATCTGGCCTCCTGATGGGATTGTTTCCTGCTTCACTGACACACTCTTTTCTTTTCAATGACATACAGAAACCATTTCACTACATTAACGTGTGTAAGAAGGGGTCAGAGTGAGGTTACTGGTGTGTATATATCCCCCTGCAGCCAGACATTTTGCGTTTAGGTAGGGTGGAGGGAAGTTGCTGCATCATTTTAGTCCATCTATTATATTTTGGAATTTTCTTCTTTTCAAAATACTAAATGTATAGTTCTGTATTACAGGATTACAATTATGTTTTGAGTGGGGATGTGGATGAATGATTTTTTTCTTGTTATGCAGGTTTTGATGGAATACTGTAAGTCACAGTAGCGTTAGGAACTCTTTTCTTTTTTCTCCTTGCTGATGAACCACAAAGAAATGCCAAAGCCTGCTACTTCCATAGTGTGTTGATGGAACTAGGAACTAGGTATTTCTCAATTCAATTCATATTTTCTGCTCATGTTCAACCTTTGGTGTATTTTGTCCTCCCAAAACTAACCTCCCATCTCAGGACATTTTCCCCATTTTTATTCCTAATGTTGATCAGTAAACTTACAAACACCCATGCAACCCCCAAACAAATCAATTCAGACCATATGCAAATTAGCTTTAGAGCAGTTGGGTCCTGATTTATACAGTGGGGTCTCAACTTACGAACTGCTCTCATAGGAATATATGGACTCGACTTACGAACTTAGATTTGAGTTACGAACTCTTTTTCCCCCTTTTTTAAAAAGCTAAGTCATCTTAGGTTAAAAGGAAAAAAGAAAAAATATCCCCCTCTAGTGCAGAAGGCGGAATAGCAGCTTCCCATTAGTTTCTATGGATGAAAAGAGCAGATACGGATTAAATGGTTTTCAATGCATTCCTGTGGGAAATGCAGATTCGACTTAAGAACTTTTCAACCTAAGAACTGCCTTCCAATACGGATTAAGTTCGTAAGTCGAGACCCCACTGTACAATGAATATTGTACAGATAGGGAGGTGCATACACACCTCTAGCTTTAAGTAAACAAAAACATAGTATTTATGTTCTTACCAATAAGTACATGGAATGTATCTCCTGTTAGTGTGGAATTCACTAAAACACCACCAAGCTTCATAAGGTCACTGTAGTAAATATCATTTGGCCATTTCACCCGGAGATCAATATCCTACAGAAACCAACATGTATCTTGGTAACGTTACATGATTGTACTTTAGAAGCCTACAGCACAGATCTCAACTTTTCTGCAGTAAATCCAGTTCTCCATATAAGTTTCCTGGCACAGAATAAAAAGTAGTGAAACTGAAGAGCTTCATTATTTCTCTCTCTCTCTCTTTAAATTAGTAATGAGAAATAAAATAGACCATTAATTTGTGAAAGTGGAACAGAGTTCAAATGTGCTTCCGAATATTTTTGGCTTATTTTATGAATCAGTTGTAACTGGTTTTGTTGTTATCTGCCTTGTGGGCCCACATGTAGGGTATAACTATTTTGACTATATAGCACAATGTTTCAACTGCAGTATGGCAACTAGAGAGGTACCATATTTTTCTGTGTGTAAGATGCCCCCACTTTTCTAATCCAAAATTTAGAAATCTAAGTGGGCCTTAGCAAGTGCAGGGGGAAAGGGATCAAAGCGCTGCAGGATCGCTTTGATCCCTGCTTTCCCCTCCACTAGTTTTTGTTCTCTCCTCAGCTTACTTCCACGTATAAGGCGACCCTCAATTTTTAGCCTAAAGATTTTAGACAAAAGTATAATCTTAATTACGGAAAAATACGGTAACTCCACTGTTTATTGACAAATAGCTATACTGAGTGAAATTTTTCTTTTGAAAATGTAGCCCTATGTCTCAAAGAAGGCTGTTATTTCTAGACTGTCATTATTTTCAGGACTATATCCAATGGTAGATCTCACGTATCGAAACAGTGGAATTAAGTAGGGGAAGGGAAAATCTCCTCTGTTCCCTACAGCCCCTAAGCTCTCTCAGTTTTCAAGTGATCTTTGGGGATACAAGAGGGAAGAAAAAGATGCTCCATGACAACCACCATCACTATGGATTTGGACCCACTGTAAAATTCTAAATGTAGCCAGCCTCATGAATAGTTCCAGTTCATGGAAAGTGGATAAAACTGAGAGTGGATAAAACTTAACCGACCAGATAGGCGGTATAATAAATAAAATAAATAAATAAATAAATAAATAAATAAATAAATAAATAAATAAATAAATAAATAAATAAAAGGCAGTGATAGTATCACGATAGGCCACTGCAACCTTATCTCCTTACCCCACCCTGTATTTAATATACCAACTTCCACAAATCATCCCCTCCCATTCTAGTTTACTGTGATATTGTTGCCGGTCACTGCCAGTCCTGGGGAGAAATTGTTAACTTGGGTCTCTGTCTGCTTGCAGAATTGTTCAAGGCAGAGGAGAGATGGCAGGAGACAGTGGCTACAGCATTATGTGTGAGAGAATGGCAAAAGGGTACTGGTTACTCCTAAACTGTCCTCAAATTGAAATAGTCTGGATAGCCTTGGTGTCAGGCCCCTGGGTTGAAAATGCTGGTGTGAAACGCCAGGTTGCTAAATGGGAAAACAACAGCCACCCAGGACTTAATCCTGCATGGGTATGCCGATCTGGCTTGAATTACAGAGACTTGGGTGGATGAGGCTGGGCTGTCAATCGGGGTGGGGTGGGATAAGGAGATAAGGTTGCAGTGGCCTATCGTGATACCATCACCCTTACCAGATGTCACATTCCCTATTTTTCCAGGTTGAAATGCGTGTATCTGAAAATAGGAGACTGGGACACAACAGAGATTCTGTTGATGTACTGTCCATCGCACTGCTCTACAGTCCCCCTTCCTATGCTAGTTGAGCTGGTCTTGGAGTGGTGTTGGGGAACTTTAACATCCATGCCAAGGCAGTTTTTGTCAGGAATGGCTCAGAACTTCATGTCCTCAATGACCACGAGTCTATCCCAAATAATATATGTCCCACTCATGCTGCAGAGCACCCTTTAGACATGGTCTTCTATACTGGGGTAAATGTTGGTAATCTGGATGTGGAGAAACGTTGTCATGGACAGACCATCATCTGGTGGGATTTAGACTCACTGGAAATCAGAACCTCTGCAGGGATGGGAGACCAATTAAGACAGTCTGCCCCAGCAGGCTGATGGATCCAAATGGTTTCCTGTTGGCTCTTGGGAAGTTTCCTGTCACCTCTACAGATGTTTCTGCTGATGTCCTGGTTGATCTCTGGAATGTCCTGGTTGATCTTGGGAATGACATAACTCCTAAACAGGCCTTCCTGCAAAGTAGAGTCAAACTGGGGAGCTGGTGGTGATGAAATGAGTGGGACAGAATTTATAGCGATAATGGCAGAATACATGGAGTGAATCTGACTGAACACAGACTAGGGCTCATTGGAAGGCCTATTCCATGGCAGTGGTGGCAGTGAATAAATATTTTTTCTCTGCCACCATTACTTTAGTTACATCTCAGCTGGATTATTGTAACATGGCCTACACGGAACTGCCTTTGGAAAGTGTTTGGAAACTTCAGTGGGTCCAAAATACCACAGCCAGATTGCTAACTCGGGCTGGTTACAAGGAACATATAACTCCTCTATTATAGCATCTCCACTGGCTGCTGATCCATTTCTGGGCACAATTTAAAGGGCCGGTTTTAACCTATAAAGTCCTAAACAAACAGAATCCAAGCACTCTGAAATACCGTCTCTCCTTTTATGAGCCTATCTGGGTATTAAAATACAGTAATTGGGAGGAGCCTTTCTTGTGGTCTCACCACCATCACAGGTGCATTGGGTTAGAGCCTTCTCTGTTGCTACTCCTAGACTCTGGAAATCTCTCCCATGGGAAGCTAGGATGGCCTTATCTTCGCTGTCCACAAGCAGACCAAGATCTTTCTCTGCAGAAAGGCTTTCCTTTAAATGACTGGTTGACCAAGAGGATTTTTTTAAAAAGGGATTACTTTATTCTGCTGTTTTACTTGTGTTTTTAATGTTGCTCTTATGAATATTAATAACCTGTTTAATGCTTTTAAAAATATTGTAATAAGTTGTTATTTAGCTTTTAATTTGTTTCTTTTAATACCGTAAGCTATCTTGGATCCTTTAAGAGGAAGTCAGTGTATAAATATTTTAAATAAATAAATAAACAAGTAATTTAAATATTTTTTCTCTTATGCCTGCTGAAGTGGACTTGCCCATGAAAGCTCATATTAAAAAAATATAAAAGTTAGTCTTTAACGTGTCACCGTGTTTTTATCTTTTACTTTTTATTTCTATTTTGCTTTTACCTAAAGTAAATAACAACATCAAAAGCAGTTTTATTGCAACAAATACATTAACCAAGTTATTGATTAATTCATTCATCAACATAACCAGCAGATACGAGGTAAACAAATTTTTCCATCATAGTGAAAAGAACTGAGACCACAAGACAGCAAGTTAATATGTTTTAGATTTAACTGAGCTTAGCCACACAAGGCTTCTGTAGGTAACAGGACACACAAGAGACTTTAAAATGGATTCATTTACACTAATGTCATACAATTGCTATCAGTAGCGTTGGATATGGCACAAATATCATCACAAAGTATCAATTCTCTTTTTGGAGACTTCTACACTTAAACAGTTAATACTTTAAGCCTCAGAGAACTAGATTTTATTTTAAATTCCACCATAAAGCATTTACAAGTTATGAAGTCCTGATGTTGGGAACTGTTAATAGAAGACAACCTTTAACATATGTGAAAGGCTACTAGATACCACTCTAATTAACTTCATGTGTGAATTTGAGTAAGCCACTGATTTTGTACAATATCAGAAACATATGTTTTTCTTAACTAGCCCTGTAAAATGCCAATGTTTTACAGTTCACTAATATTAAGAATTGGTAACATTAAAAATAAATTGATGAGGTGCTAAATAAGATTGGTTTGTAATTTGAGCAATGATGACAAGACACTTGATTCCCTCCTGAGAGGACATATTTTCCTTCTTGCTTGTGAGCTTGGGGCAAACATTTTCAACATTAAACAAGACATGGAAAAAGAAAAAAAAATGGTAAGTGAAATTGTTCCTACAATAAACTAAGAAGCAATAATCAATTTATTACTTTTTCCTTTCCAGTTTTCTCCATCAGTTTTCTAACTAAAAAAATAAGTCCATAAGTGAAAGCAAGAGGAAAATTGGCTGTGATTACAAAACTGGATTACAATGTACTTTAAATCAAGCTGGACTAATAGCCTCTACATAATAATATTTTTGTTCACTTAGAAACACAGACTCTGTCAACGAGAAAAATAAATCGGGGGGAAAACAAATGAAATTTCTAATGTGGACTGACACTAAGCAGATACATAAATTCATAAATTACTCTAGTCCAACAATTTCAGGTGAAAAAAGCTGAAATTCAAAAACAGTAGAACAGAAACATGAAAATGCAATACCTGATATCCAGGTATGGATCTAACAGACTCCACAACTGCTAGAGAAGCCAAATGCTGAATAAATGGAATCCTTTGACCCAAGTGAGAAGATAAAGGAATAGTGATATGCAGAGTTGATAAAGCAGCCCCAATAGGACTAAGCCAGGTATTTCCACCACGACCTTAAAAATAATAATAAAAAAAGATAAATCATTTTATGTGCATATTTTATTTGATTACTTGGAAAGAATGTACCATCATATCACACAGATAACCTGATGACGGAATTCTCAGAAATGCCATGACTTAAAATTATGACTTTTTTTGTGTCTTTAGAGAAAAAATCAGTTATCAGCTTCACAGATTGTTCTACTTACTCTTTATTTTATTTTTATTTTACTTCTATCCAGCCTCTCCCACTAATGCAGGGACTCCAGACAGCTTATAAAATTATTTTAAAAGCTGATACAGCTAAAAATATAATTAGCTTTAAGATTACAATACAATTAAATGTTTAATGCTGTTTTTAAATGTGCCTTAAAACAATATAAAACACAACAGAGTAAAAGAAAAAAAATGTTGCAACACCCCTTAAAATCTCTTTTCTTGGTACCCTATTTAGCCAAAGGCCAACTCAAAGTTAAATATTTGCCAGTGAAAGAATGAGAAGGAAGGTAAAAGTGCAGCCTTTCTTAAAAGTAAGTTCCACAGCCTTGGAGAAGACAAGGAAAGAAACCTATGTCATCTCCTCACCAAATATGTATGTCAGGACACTGAAACAGATATCTCCCCTGAAGGCCTCAAAAACTGAAAAGTCTCATATGGGTACATCTGGTCCTTCAGATAGCCTTGACCCAAGTTGTATGGGACTTTATAGTGCTTTATGACCAACACTTCAAAGTGGGCCCAAAATGGTTTGGTAGCCAGTGGAGCTGCCATAAGAGGGAATTACATTATTTCTGCAAGCAGTCCTAGTTTACTGGCTGCAGCATTTTGAACTAGCTGAAGTGTATAGTCTTCAAAGGGAATATACATAGAGTTTGTTACAATAATCTCAGTTAGTATAAGACATTTTCAGGAACAGCTGGCACACTAGCATTCATGGCCACCAAAACCAGTGTCCAGGTTCAGGGCAGCATCCAGCAGCACACCTAAGCTGCAAAGTTCACCCTTCAGTAGGAGTGTAATTCTGCCCACACAGAATTCATATTCTCTAATTTCCCTTATGTTGAACAGGAGCACATGTACAGTATATATATTCTGTCTTACCTATAGCTTTTCAAGCCACTGTGCAGCTTGTAAAAAGCAAATTCAATTAAATGAATCTGAATGCAAATTCAAAGAATGTCACTATTTGATTTTTGTTTTAGCAGCACAAGAGACATAATATTTGAAGGAGTAGCTGCATTAGCCTGTGCAAACATACCAGACAAAACACAAAACCAACCAACCAACTAATCAGAGACTACACATTGTGGCACCTTAAAGAGTAAATGCTATATTTTAATGTGCACTTTTGTAGATTAAGTTGTTGCACGCAACATCAGGGGCACATTTACTTGTTCCTCTGGTAATGTAATCAATGCATCCTTTCCTAATAACGCCCTTCTGCACTCTACATAGGACAAAAAGGACAAACTGCGTTCAAAAGAATAAATGGACATACAGTAAATCTAACATCTGCAATGGCAATAAACAAACTCCTGTTTCAGAACATTTCAATCTACCCGAACACTCTTGAGATGATTTTAAAGCAACTGCTCTGGGGTGGGGGGGACAGGAGTACAAAACAAGACTTGAAAGTGAAACCACTAAGACATATAGAGTTGCTGGAGACTCACTTAAAAGAACTAAATATCAATCAAGGTTTCTTAACTCATTACCAAGTGTGAACTACTACACTGATTCACACAGTGTGCCACTTGCACCAGCTGTTCTGTTGTTACCTCACAGACTGCTAATTGACATTAATTACAGCCTGATAATTTATTCCTTTAACTAATGAACCATGGTCACTTTGTCCATTATCTGTATTTCCATCTGGTCATGGGGCTGTGTATAGATACAACAGCCATATAATCTCATCCTTATGCAGGATGCAGTGAATTTGATTCTTGAAAGCTCACATTAAAATACAGTATTTAGTTTTTAAGTAAAATAATCTCTTTTTTTCTTTTATGCACTGATTATAAAAAGATCCTTGCAGAGATGTAGAAAAAAATATCAGTAGCTACATAGGGCGCCTTCCAGATGTTTTTTACTTAATCCAAGCCAGCATGGCCACTAGTCAGAAAAGGTGAGAGTTGAAGTCTGAAACATCTGGAAGGCATCAGATTGAGGAAGGCTATTCTAGATATTTTGGGAATAATCTGACAGTGAATTCAGGAATGGGGAAGTAACACAAATCCAAAACGGAGTCACTTCTGCATCCCGCTGGTGGTAACTGCTTGTTATAGAAGCATATACACCTGATGGGCAGTGTGGGGAAATGCATATTAGTTCAGTGTAAAATACAGTGGTGCCCCGCATGACGACGATAATTTGTTCCATGAAAATTGGTGTTTAGCGAACTCATCGTCTAGCGAAAAGCATTTCCCCACTGGAATGCATTGAAACCTGTTTAATGCGTTCCAATGGGGAAAATTGTCGTCATCCAGCGAAGATCGCCCATAGGGAAGCCGCTTCGCAAAGTGCCGATCACCTGTTTTAAATCGCTATGTTGCGAAAAATGGGCCCCAAAACACCCGTCCAGCGAAGATCGCCTCTAGGGAAGCCATTTTGTGAAGCTGACAATCAGCTGTAAAGATCGTCGTCTTGTGAAAATATGGTCTGCGAAGCACGGACCAACTCGTCGTCCAGCGAAATTCCCCCATAAGAATCACTGTTTTGCAAAGCAAAACGGCAGTCGCAAAACCTCGTCGTCATGCAGATTCGTCGTTTTGAGGGGTAATCATCTTGCGAGGTACCACTGTATAGTATAAAAGGCAACTGCATACAGACAGAATAGTCTGAAAAGTGCTTAGTGACAACTTGAGATGTTTCACACTACAAGAGCTCCTTTAGCTCCTAAAATTTTAAGTATTAATATATGATAAAAATGGAAAATCTGTGGACATCCAGACGTTGTTGGACCAGTCCCTATTAATTTTAGCCAGCACACTCAACAGTCAGGCTTGATGGGAGTTACAATTCTGCAGTCACAATCTCCCCATGCCCAATGATTGTCCAGAACAACATGACATGATGCCAGGTTTAGCCTTATCTAAAGAAGACTCATGCAACCAAATGAATTTCAGTTAATCATGACAATTTTAAGTCCTATTTATTACAATGGTCTGCTCTATGTACGGCTAAATTTAGATAGAACCTATGAAGTTGCACTGCTGACTATGGGCAGTATAGCCCTTGTCTACACGGGCTAATTGGAGCAGGCTGATCTGGCTAAATAAGGTCAGTACTGTATATATAAACATAAACTTAATCAGACAAGGTACAGCAAGGAATGGGGCCATAGCCTGTGCTGGATGGGGTTATGCTCCCTCCGAGAATACAGGTGCACAGCTTGGGGGATGCTCCTGGGTTCATCTCTGAGCTTGGCTACCCAGGTTTTGGCAGTGGCCAGGAATGCCTTTGCAGTTAAAACTGCGTGGCAGCTGTGCCTGTTCCTAGAAAGGCCTGATCTGGCCTTGGTGACACATGCCTTAGTTACATCTCATGCTCTATGTGGAGCTGCCTTTGGGAAATATTCATTGGTTCCTAAATGCTGCAGCCAGATTGTCAACCAGGGCTGGTTACAAGGATCACAAAATTGCCCCGTTACAGCAATTCCATTGGCTGCTGATATGTTTCTGGGCACAATTCAAAGTGCTATTTTTAATCTATAAAGCCCTAAATGGCTTGGGTCCAAGCTACCGGTATCTCAAGGACTATATCTCTCTATTTTTCTTTTTTTTTTTTTTTGGTAAGTAATGCAGTTTATCAGTGATGCTGTAATGCAATGTAATTTATTTCTTACTTCCTTTACCCCTCCACAGAGAAATTTCCCAATATCATGAAATGGTTGTTTTCTCAAGCCACTTGATGATATGGGAAATTCAAAGAGGAAGGCAAATTGACAGTGGAGGGCTCACACTGGTTCATTTCCAGCAATTGCAAGGACTGGAAATGAACCAAAACTGAGTGATTCTACCTGTACCTAAGAAATGGAAGCCCCTGCCAGGGACTAAGGAAGCGTACACAGGAATGCTCTAGGGGCAGTTTCATTTTAGCAAAGAGGCTATCTGATCACCGGCTTTAGGAGTGAAGCAACTTGTCCCAGCAGCAGATCAAACAGCAGGCTAAGTGCTCATGTAGTCACCTTCTATATTTCTTCAAATAACATTTCTCACTAATAACAGAATTATAACTTACCTCTCCCATGAGTCTGTTGAACAGCTATTGCTATCAGACCTATTTCTTGTGATATCTTATATATCAACCTGTAATTATATTTTAAAAAGAATATTTCTGTTAGAACACTATGTGGCCTTCATACTGTTATAGGTACAGGTTAAACAGGTAACAGAAAAATTGAAAAGGAAAATTTATAGAAAACTAGCAGATGAAACCTTTTATGACAGAAAAGAGACCACTAATACGTGATTATACCTACAACTAGCTTCATAAGCGCTTGTTCTAACTAGAGTATATCACTATCTTTTCTAAGTGACAACTGACAATTTCAAACATTTGTTTCTACTCACAGCAGATTAATAACTGTACTCCTGAATACACCAACAGCAGTTTCTGATTATTTAGAAAGTCAGTATGATGGCAATAAAGCAGTTTTAAAAAGACACTATCCCTGGAGAACTAATTATGATTTAACTACAGAAAATAAATCTACACCTTCTGAGAGCTCTAGAGAACACTGGTTTATTTAGGCTTGTGCTATACTTTTAATTTTTTTTCTTTTAAAAGAATACAGCTTTCCTTCTGGGGATAAGGAGAAAGTAATGCATATTCAAACCACCACCAAATGAGTCAATGTTAACTTAAATCTTGCTGTAAGAATATTCCTTAGAATGCCACATTAATAGCATGAAAATTTATTTTATTTTAAGGTTAAATTTATCTAACAGAAAAAGTTAACATGTCGTTACATCCATTGGCTAAGGCTTAAATTATTAAAGGGCAGAAGGTAGTTTTACTGTGAAACAACAACTCACATATAAAGCAATTTTTTCCCTGATTTTTGCAAGATGCAAGGACCTCTGGAATTAAGCTGGTGAAATGGTGTGGAACAGCAGAGAGTGCCTCCTTTGCTACTTCCTAATTCATTTCTACCTAGGTCTGAATAATAATGTTTCATCAAGAGTTCCAGGTAGGTAAAGAACAAAAAACATAATGCTAAGCAGTATTTTCGAATATCTTTGCATAGCAGCTGAGTTGTTCATGTAACTGTAAAAAGAGCAAGTTTTCATTACAAGCGCCAAGAAGACCTGTCAATTAACTACAAAAACATGAACTACAGCAGTCATAATACAATGTTTTCTCCCTTTAATGCAAATATCAGTGAGAGTGGTTTTTTTTAAGCAAAGGCCAAAATACCTCTTTGCCAGTTCCACATCCATTATACATTAAATAGAGCTTGGTAATTGTTTCTCTTGGCCACGATGAATTGCCTATTGAGACCATCCACCATCAACTGCTGCTGTTAAAGTACATTTTGGTTGTGCTGTGAACTGAAAGAGAGGTTCTTTGTATCCACTGAGGTTTAATATTGTCTTCTAGAAATGCTGCAGGTTAGCGTCCAATACTACTTCAGCTTCAATGACACATTCATGTTACAAAAAAAGGAAAGCTAATTTAAATGTGGAAATGGTACTGTGGACAGTTTATAAATACAGTTGAAGCAACTTGGAGCCCCTCACCTTCTCTCTAGGCTCTACATAACAGACAAGTTATATATTGCAAGTCTGAGGAACAAAAATCAGGAAAGGAAAAAAGTTAGTTTTAACACCAAACACAGGATGGCAGAACAACGAAGTGATTAAGGAAACATATGTATAGAATTGCTAAGTGGCTTGGCTGGAGTTACTAGAGCATACTAATGATAAAACTGAGCTCCTGTGCTACCAAAGGCCAAGAAGAAATTTGGTAAGGAGTGACACAACATAGAGAAATTGCTAATACCTAGACTGAGCCGACTGGAGACAGACAGATTTATTTATGCTATGTGAGATAACTCAAGGGCATTACCACACACTTCCAAGACCACAATAAATTGCTTGTGAATTCTGTATTTCTGTACTACAAAGAAGCAATTGTAAATACTTTTTCCTTCTATGTGTTAGCGTACTATGAGTACTGAAGCAAGGAAAGGAAAGAGCAATCTTTTTAAACTGACCTCAACAGGAAAAACAGAATGTAAGGTTTAGAGCCTTTCAGAACTTTTACTCATCCAGAAATGGAGACATGACAGGCAGAACAACCTACAGCTTGGTTACAACCTATCACATTAAAAATGCAGGTGTTGCAATCATTTCATGTCTATGATATGTTAAATGTATCTTTAACACATCCTAGAAATGCTGAATATTGATCAACACATGAATTACAGAAATACTTATAGTTCCATAGATAGTTATGTTCTGTCAAGTTGGAACTGACTTAAAGTAACTCCAACAGGGCTTATAAGGTAAGTAAGATATTTAAAGAGTGCTTTTACCAGTTCCATTCCCCAGTGAGTTTTCATGGCTAAGTGGGAATTCAAACCCCCGTTTCCAGAATCCTAGTCTGCACTCTTTCCTCTACCCCACATTGGGTATAATTCCACATATGACAGAAATAATACAAATTAAGCACAAGAATAAAACAGATCCATAGGCTTATTTTCAGAAAAACTAAGAAAAGGGTCTGTATATTTAATATATATTAAATATATTTTCACATAACTGTTTCGTTCAACTGTTATTTTCAGTTTCTGGTTCAAGATTAAGTGTCATTTTTGAAAGCTTATTAATATATGCTGTCAAGAAAGCATTATTTTTCCCAGCTTTTAAGTGAGAATTTCGATTGAAGTACAGAAATTTTAATAAATTGAAAAATCTGAGATTGATATTTTTAACTCAAAATGGTATCTCTACTTTATGTCTAATTGCTGCTTCACTTTAAAACGTTGAAGCATTTAATTATTAAGCATTATAAGTTAGTTTAAATTTCTAATGTGAAGGGAAAAACAGTTAAACCAGACTTTTTTAATGGTCCTGAACCAACCTACTAAGCATTTTTCACAAAAATACTTATAGCATAGATTAAAACTCGTACTAGCTTAATACAGAATAGTTAACTGAAATTTCATCGTCTAAAGACACTCCGGCTTATAGCCAGTAAATGACTTTTATTATACCTACTTAAAACTGGAAGTAAAACCACAGAAACAATGTTTGACTAATGTTAATGACCTGACATCTATAAATTTCACTGATGTTGTGGCTTTCAGACTGAAACTCTCATTAATGCACCCTGCTGTTATGGTATTGCAGAGGTATTACAAAAAGCAACATTACAGTCCAGATGTTGAAAAACCTGGGCATCAGAAGTCACTTTTACCATTTTTACTTTGGGCAGTTTGGAAATTATTCTCTCCATATGTATGCATCACTTAAGGAAATCTTCACTTCCATCTACAATGGTTCAAAACATTTCAAATACTGACCATTTTTAAAATATAAATTTAAAATTTATTCAAGTCACCTAAGTAGCTTAACTACTGCACAAGCGTTGCAGTTCAGGACACACTTTCTTCCTTCTTTAACAGTATTGCACACTCAATGTACTGCAAGACAGGGCATTTAAAATTGAAATCCCTACTAAAGTTCTACTTATTTACGTGAAGAGGCCTTGTTACTTTGGCAGGTGTTTGAAACTGCCAGCAGCTCAGTACTAAGGTGATGGTTTGTTCAGAATCTGACAAACAGCAGTACTGTACAGAAGTTGAAAATAAAGTCTGAATTCTTATGCATCTTATGTTGCAATAGATTTCCAATACTGGATTGCATGAGGAAAGGAGAGAGGTTTCCCCAGCTCATTCCAAGAAATGGCAGGAGACAGAAGACCACAATATGGATCAGAGAAATTAATTTGATGCTTGGGCTTTCCTCATTAACTGATTCATTACTGTATTTAGATACATAGTCAAGACACCATAATCAACACACAACCTGGGGTATCTTCAATTGTGATTCAAATCTGGTTACAAGGAGCATGTTACTCCCTTATTACAACAGCTTAAGAAATGTGCTTACGTTCCTATTTATTATTAAATTACTATCCCTTCGTTCCTCCAAAGAGCTCAGTGTATCATACAGAGTAAGGCTTTCCTTCTCCTTCTCCCCATTTTATGGTCACAACAACCATTTGAGATAGATCAAGCTAAAAGATTGTAACCGGTCCCTAGGTCACCCAAAAATTAACCCTCTTGCAGAATGTAATTTACTTGGTACTGCTATATGTAAAGCAACACTTATATCTTGCCCACTTTCCCAGTACTAGAGAACAAATCAGCCAAACTAGAGATAGAATAAAACTATGTAAGAATTCTGTTACACATACAAAAAATTCTTGCATGGCCAGATGGGCTCTCTTTTTAGCTCCTTCTAAACTATGTTTATTACTGAACATTTCGGATGATACTTCAAAAATAATTCCTTATATTTCAGTAGAGTGGAAGAATTATATTGACCTAATTTTAAACTTTTATTTTCTATAGGAACAGATTTGGGTGTGTGGTCTTAGAGGAGGGACTGGGGGCCTCTCTCAGAATGAACAAACATAATTATTATCAACAACACGTTTATCTAATTTTTTTTAAAAAAATATTTATTTTTAAATCATGACAATCCATCATGTTACAAGTAATAAATACAACATTTAACACTGTAATCTATCATCTTTCTTGTTATGTAATTTAACTGTTGACCACCTGCTATTCCCCACATTTCACAAAGTCATATTTACACCATTCCCCATTTCATCTTAAAGAAATATCGACCAACAATCTAAATGCTCCAAATTGTTTTCTAAACCATGTGTCTTGACATTTATTTTATTGGCATATTCTAATAAAGGCTTTCAGCTTTCGGTGAATTGACTATGCCTTATTTCACCTCTATATAATCTAATTTTACAGTTAGTCTGAAAGTTTTACCTCACCTTTTAAAAAACATCTATTTTTCTTGTGCTGATTGTATTCCTATAAATCATATGAGATACAAAAAAAGAGAAAGCATACTTTTAAATATATTACAGATTATATTTTATTACAATTAACAATAAAGTGATGAATTCTGGCCACGATGAATCCCTCTACAATCAGCAACAGCTAGTTTATATTATGTCCCATCTGAAATAACTACCCTACTAACAGCACTATCTTGTTAAAAACTGACATAAAACAAATTGTTGCTATTTATTTCATTTCCTAAATTCTGTTTTT